GTTGATTAATGTAATCAGTCTGGAAACCACTCCTGAGGAAAGATAATTTCAGTTAACAGTTTTTACTAATTAAAGAACAAAAAGAAGAGCAGGACTTCACAGAGGTGAGTGAAGTTGTAAAGGGTGATGCTGACTTGGAACAAGTTTAAGTTGGTCTTAATGTTGACCTAAAAACTTGAACCTTAACCCAGTTTACATCTGTTGATGTTTCTGGGATTGCCATGGTTCTTAGATTCTCCTGCTACTTATTCAGTCTTTGAATGTAGATAGGTGCTAGGTCTCAGCCCCTTGGGATTTGGTTGTATTATTCTTCATTGTCTTCCTATTCCTATGGATCTTATCTAGGTGCCTGGCCTCCTGAATGAAAGACTTTTCTAGTTTGGCACTGAGGTTTTTTTCCTCTGAATTTTAAACTGTCTTAGGTGGTCTTTATAGTTTATAACTCCTCAGTGTGAGCACATTGATCAGATTTCATCTTTCTCTGAAACCGTTGTTTCTTATCTCAGTCAGGTTCTGTCAGCACAAGAAGCCTACTTATTTCTTAGAACCTTAAAGCTACCATTTCTTTTGGACTAACCAAATTTTCTGTTTCCTGAGCTGTATCTCAACTTTTAGTTTTTTTGTTTTTGTTTTTTGTTTTTTTTGAGTCAGAGTCTCTGTCACTTGGCTGGAATGCACTGGCATGCTCACGGCCACCACACCCTCGACCTGCTGGGCTCAGGTGATCCTTCCGCTTCAACCTTCCAAGTAGCGGAACTATAGGCATGCGCCACCACACCCAGCTGATTTATCTTGATTTATTGTAGAGACAAGGTCTCACCAAGTTGCCCAGGCTGGTCTCGAATCCGTGGGCTCAGGCAGTCCTCTCGGCTCCACCTCGCAAAGTGCTGGGATTGCAGGCATGAGCCACTCATCTTCTGAAACAAGGTTATTGATCTCAAGTTTTGTTTCTCAGTAAGCCATTACTGGTTTAGGTTTCTGTAGCTTTTGCTAGCATATGACTTCAGCTTGTAATTTATATTTAAATAATTTTAATATTTTAAATATTAAAAAAGCAAGAAGTGGGCAACAGAAGGAAACAGTTGCCAGGGAGAAAATCTAATAACTATAAAAAGCAGTTATAAGAACTCATTATGGTAATCAATATTATAGGAAAAAATAGGTATGAATACTTAATATAGTCCCAAGTATACCATATCTTAAAATATTACAAAAACTCATGTTAGTAATGCCCTAAGTCAGTAATTCTGAGCCAGAAGGGTGAATTATAGTCAGCTTTAAAATGTTGTCATTAGGCCGAGCTTGGTGACTCAGTCTGTAATCCCAGCACTTTGGGAGGCTGAGGCAAGTGGATTGCCTGAACCCACGGGTTTGAGGCCCATCCGGGCAACTTGGCAAGACCTCGTCTCTACAATAAATCAAAAATTAGCCAGGCGTGATAGCGCGTGCCTGTAGTTCCAGCTACTTGGAAGCCTGAGGAGGAAGGATCGCCGGAGCCCAGCAGGTCGAGGCTGCGGTGGCCGGGAGTGTGCCACTGCACTGCAGCCTGGGTAGACAGTGAGACTCCAACTCAAAAGAAAAAAACGAGTAAAAAAATGTTATCATTAAAGATGACATTGGAGATTCTGATTGTGATTAATGTAGAACTCTGGACATGTCTTTTAAATTATTTGTTATTTTTCATAAATATCTTTGATTAAAAGCCCTTGTGCTGATACAGCAAGAAAGGATAAAATATTCAGTATGAACTGCTTACGACTATAGGAATATTTTATGTCATCAAAAACAGTCTAGTAGAAAAATGGGCAAAAGATAAACAGAAAATGGATGAAAGAAGAAATACAAATGGCTACAGCCTATAAAAATATGTCCAACTTTACCAGCTCACCAAAAATTAAGAGATTGATAATCCTTAATTTGGTCTGTGTTTGTGAAAATAGGCACTTTACACTGATTGCTGGTAAGGGTTTGAATCTGGAAGGCAGTTCGGTAGTATGTATCAAAGTTTTAAGTGTTTTTATTATCTGATCAGTAATTTTATCCTTGGAATTTATTCTAAGAAATAATTGGAAAGTAGATTGCAAGCAACATTTACAGTGTCATCTATATGATTAGATGAACATTTTAAAAGTTTGAAAGCCTGAATAGTATAATGAAATAATACTAGTATTTTTATCTGAAAGGTAGAACTACAGGTAATTTTTAAAAATAATATCAGTATTTTAGTGTCCTTGTGGGTGGCTTTGGTACACAGGAGAGATTATGCAGAAGCTCCTTGGCCTTAAATTTAAATTTCCTTGGACCAGAAGAGACTCATGAGGTAGACAATTATCTCTGGGCTCACTGAGATCGCATACTGATTTCAGTCAGCTGTGAGATGTGAAGCTCCTGATTTTTCTCATTGCCCAAACAGCAAGGCTGAGACCCTTGTAACAATTACTGAAATTTGTAGCAGGACTTTAATTATCCACTCAGGGAAGTCTAGTCTGCATAAGATTGTAGCCAATTACCTAAACTGCTTTGTTGGTTTTGTAATTTTTCTTAAAACATATTTAAATAGTTTTCTGTTTTGCTCTTAAGATACTTTCAGGCTGTTGAATTCTTTATTCTCTTAGGGAATTCTTTACACTCTTAGGAAATTCTGTGGTAATCTCATTATATATGATGGAATCTGACATTTCATAGTCTTCCTGCCTATCTTGTAGAAATTACATTAGCATATAGTTAAACTCTAGCTATCCCTAGCTCTGGGTTGCAGCTTCTTAGGTCATTCTAATGACAGTTTCGACTTTCTGATGTGTTCAGTTTTGCTGCATTTTTAACTACTGGTGTATATACACACACACACACACACACACACACACAGAACCTATATGCAGTAAATATATACTACATATATACAGTATATATCTTTTATATATTTATATATATGTATATATGGGCCATATATACATATGTACCTACCGTTGGCCCTCCATGTGTGGGTTCAACATCCATGGATTAAATGAACCTCAGATTGAAAATATTTGGGGGAAAAAATTATATTGAACCAGGAAAGCCTTTTTTTCTTGTCATTATTCCCCAAATGCAATAACTATTTACATTGTATTAGGTATTATACATAATCTAGAGGTGATTTAACCTATACTCAGCTGAAGGATATATATAGCTTATATGCAAATACAATGCCATTTTTCATCGGGGACTTGAGCACCTGTGGATTTTGGTATTTGAGTGAGGTTCCAGAACCAACAAATCTCCCACAGATACCAAGAGACAACTACATATAAAATAAAGAGGACTAAATATATATATAGAAATATATATAATTATAAAAGAGGACAAAAGCTGTTTTGTTTTTTGGGTTTTTTTTTTTTTGAATTTTTTTTTTTTTTTGAATTGGAGTCTCACTCTTTGTCACCCAGGCTGGAAAGCAGTGGCACGCTCATGGCCACCACAGCCTCAACCTGCTGGGCTCAGGCGATCCTTCTGCCTCAGCCTTCCAAGTAACTGGAACTACAGACTCACACCACTTCTAATGCTGTTTTGATTTGGGAGGGAAGATATGGAACTTCAAGAATCAATGAAAAAACTATTAGAATCTGTTTAAAAATTTACTGTTTAAAGAGTAGGATACAAGATAAACATATATGAATCAATAGCTTTTCTGTAGTCCTTAATATTAGAAGAAAACTAACAAAAAGAATTAGGAAGATTTTTTTTCCCCATGTGATTGCATAAGGCAGATGGTGTCTGCTCTAAGTTTTTCCCAGACTCATTTACAGCCTTCATTTTAGTAAAAATCTCAATAGAACTTTTCTTTCTGGAAGAATGGGGAAAAGGGAATGGGAGGTAACTTGACAAAAGTGACTTATAACTAATTTTGAATAGTCAAAAAATTTTTAAATAGTGATCAGCTACTTGGCATATCAATATGAACAAAGACTATAATGCTACTGTAATAACGCATTGTAGTTCAGATAGACCAATGTAATAAAAACAGACCTTGATATATGTACGAATTTGGAGCCATCATAAATCCATGGAAAAGGAAGTATTATTTAATAAATGATACTAAAATAATTAGTTAACCATCTGGAAGAAAAAGTTAAGATTTCTCCTCAAAACTTTGCTAAAATAAATTCTAGATGAATCAAGTGGCTAAAATGAAATAGAAGCCACAAGAAGAAATCTAGATAATTATTTAACTACCTTTGAAAAGGAGTTTATAAGCGTAGAAACAGTGAAAGAAATCACATAGGAAAAGGGGCTCATTCTTAACACTTAAAAATTTACAACTTCTGGCCAGGCTCGGTGGCTCAGTCTGTAATCCCAGCACTTTGGGAGGCCAAGGCGAGTGAATTGCCTGAGTCTGTGGGTTCGAGACCCACCCGGGCAACTTGGCGAGATCTCATCTCTACAATAAATCAAAAAATCAGCCAGGTGTGGTAGCGTGTGCCTGTAATTCCGGCTACTCGGAAGGCTGAGGCTGCAGGATCACCGAAGCCCAGCAGGTTGAGGTTGTGGTGGCTGGGAGCGACCACTGCACTCCAGTCTGGGCAACGGAATGAGATTCCAACTCAAAGGAAAAAGAAAGAAAATGATAATATCAGTTATTGGTAAAAATATTGCTAATGAGATGTAAATTAGTAAAACTTCCCTAGAAAGCTGTTTGACTTTTAAGGTGTCAGAATTTTATTTACATTTTTTATATTTCTTTATTTCTGTATTCTTTCCCTCATTTATTTTTATAAGGAGGAAGTATTAGTTTTATAAGTTAAAACACCTTTTTAAAAAGTAAGTTTTTCTATTACATAATTTTTAAAGAGTATTACTTAAAAATCAGTAAAATGACAATGATTAACACTCAAAAATATATGCAGGTTTTGTTTTTTCCTGAAAACTTAGATTATTACTGATTCAAGAAATTTTCCCTTAAAACACATGTTGAATTAAAAATACCCAATTAATTTTTTTATACTTTTTTCTTCTTTTACTAGAAGTAGAAGACTTGTTTTCTTCACTTAAGCATATCCAACATACTTTGGTAGATTCTCAGAGCCAGGAGGATATTTCACTGCTTTTACAACTTGTTCAAAATAAAGATTTCCAGAATGCATTTAAGATACACAATGCTGTCACCGTACACATGAACAAGGCCAGCCCTCCATTTCCTCTTATCCCCAACGCACAAGATCTTGCTCAAGAGGTATGTATTCTGAACATCTTGCTGACAAGGTAATTATTAGTGATAGTAAGGCAGTGAGTGCTGTTGGAAAATACTAATGTGGCTATGGGGTTTTTTAAATTAATTACTGTTAATCACATGTTGATAATTTATTGTAATGGAAAAATTTGCAACATTTATTTTACCATGAAAAAGCATATACTTACTTCAGAGTCATAGCTCTATTTCATGAAGAGAGTTAGTTTTTGATATAAAATTGTAAATTTGAATAGTAACAGAAAGATTTTAATTACTAGAGGGCAAAATTTTTTTAGTGCTTTTAGTATAGTTTTATGAATTTTAAGCATTATACATTAAAACTGAGGTAAACGAATATATGAGATGATTATCAGACAATATTGAGATGATAATGAGATAAAGTTGTAACTGATAGTCAGGTATTTTAAATATATAACTCCTAAGATTTATTATTTCCAGGTATTTTGAAATTTTTCCCTGTAAAAACTACAGGTGTTTTAAGTTATTAAGTTTTAATGTACTGTGAAAATTTCTTCTGTTTACGGATACTGTGAGAGTTTGTGAGAGTTTCTTCTGAAGTTTCAGTCAGTTTCAAAGTGCTCTCCATTTGATGCAGTACACCTATCAAATTGCTTTTTGTATGCTCAAAACAGTTTTTGAACTTGTGAATTTTGATGCCTTTTTAATATTTCTGCCATTTTTTATTTCACCTCTTCCACATTATTTATTATGCTAGCTTTTAAATTCTAGTTTCTGATGCTAAATTGATGTCCATTGTTTAATGTGTTCTGCAAACATCTTTTAAATTAAAGATTTAAAAAGGGAATAATCAAATTCCTGTTTGGGGGGAATGGACAGTCTATCATTATTATGCAGTTTTTAGTTATTTTGATATTATAAAAGCTAATAATTCTGGAAGCCCATCAACTGAATATATTTCATTGAGTTCAAACATTAGACAGAAAATGGGCTATTGGGGGTTGGGGTAAGACTTCCAGAGCTACAGACCTATGAAAATGGTTAGGAGGTACTTCACAAATTAGCAGAGAATGGTTCCAAAGAGAGATACTTTCCCCATTGAGATGCGAGAGATGGCAAAGAACCTGCATGCAAGAGCGGCTGAGAAAAGTCTAGTGCTGCTTAGGACCTAGGAGGATGTAACCTAAGGACCTGTCCAAGAGAGGAAACTTTCCATCCACCAGAGTTGAAAAGTGCTGGTTCCTTGAGCTTATTGTTTATTATTGAAATTAATTATGTAAGATTTTTATTTTAAAATGATCTTTGGAGTTTTAAATAAAAAATTGTCACTTGGCAGGATTTTTTAATTTAAAATATATTCGCTTATGATAACTTAAATGGTTTTCTGAAATTTCTTGAAACTACTTTCTTACAGAGATTGAAATAACCAACATTACTCTGATCTGATTATACTATTCACATATATTGTATAATTTTTATACTGTGGGAATACACAGTAATAGTAATCAGTCCCTTCCTTATCTTTAGGAGGAAGGTCTGTCTGGCTAGCTACTGGGCCTTTGTTTTGCTGAATAGAACAGTGGGTGAAGAGAATGAGAGAAACAAAAGAGATCAAAATTGCTCCAGTCAAGAAAAACTGACACAGATAATGGAAGGGTAGAAAGAAGAGAAAAAAGAGACAAAATGACTTAAGTTTTGGGAGTTGAGAAAGGCAAAGAACTAGAAGTGACTTAAAGAGTAAAATGCTTTGGGAGAAAGACGTGGTTAAAAAGAACTTAAAAAAAATTTTTTTTAATAGTTTAAGCCATATTCAGAATAGTTCACAGTTTTAAAAGTACCATATAGAGGAGATTTTCTGAAAGTTTGATTGCATATCCTTACAATTTTGAATCAAATGTGTTCAGTTTTATAAGATGAGTAAATAAGGCCATTGAAGTAGCTGGGATGGCTAGCGTCATCACGTACATCTATAGGGTCTATCTGGGGTTTGGAGAGGTGGCTATTGACTGCTAAGGGCCATGAGAGAGGTTTGAGCATGACGCATGCTTCTACAGGTGTACAAAAGTGTCAAATTACAGTTGTCTTTCATATAAATGGAATAAGACAATATGTAGTCTTTTGTGTCAGACTTCTTTTGCTTAGCATAGTGTTTTTGAGATTCATCCATGTTCGTATATCAATAGTTTGTAAATTGCTGAGTAGTATTCCATTTTATGAATATCCCGCAGTTTAACTACTCACCTATTGATGTATGTTGGGTTTTTCCTGTTTATTATTCTAGCAAGTATGTAATGATATCTTATTTTACTTTGCATTTCCATAATGACTAATGATGTTGGCCATTTTTTCATATGTTTATTAGCCACTTTCCTATTTTTTGTGAAATATCTGGTGAGATTGTTAAGTTTTCTTGAATTGTAACAGTTTATAATACGAAGGGGGACCCCAAAAACCCCCTCGTATTATAACTTATTTATTTAGAAAAAATTATGTGTTCTTACTTGTTTACATTTCAGTCAACTTCTAAGTGCTCTTCGTTTGATGCAGTACACCTATTGAGTCGCTTTTTCTGTGCTCAAAACAGTTTTTGAACTCGTGAATTTTAATGCCTTTTAATACTTATACCATTTTTTGTTTCACCTCTTCCACATCAGCAAAACATTTCCCTTGAGGACTTTTTCTTCCAGGAAAACAAAAAAAGTTGCTCTGGGCGAGATCTGGTGAATAGGGAGGGTGAAGCATAGGGGTCATGCCGCTTTTGGTCCGAAACTGTTGAACACTCGGCATGTTTAGGCAGAGGTGCTCATAAATCACCCATTATGAAATGGGCAAACGCATGGAAAGAATCTTTAAAAAAAAAAAACAGTGAAGCAGAACACAGCCTCTCACAACAACACTAACTGGTACACTGATGCTGATGGGTTCTTAGAACACTTACCTAGCAGGGGAAGCCTGTGCTACAAGGGGCCCACCGTCCAAAAAATAATTCTAGTTTTTGAGGGATCCCCCATTGTATATTCTGGTTATAAATCCTTTGTCAGATACATATCTCAAGGGGAATATTGTGGTAAAAACAAGTATAAAAATGCAGGAAGTATGTATACCAAATGATCATTCCTAGGTTTAGTAAAAATCCTTTCATTTTCTTCTTTTTGATTATCTTTTTTCTAATTTTTCACATTTAAAGATACCACTTCTAGAATTTAAAATTTAGTTCAAAAATGAAAAAGAATTTTGCCTCTAAAGGCAATGGACAAAAGCAATATAGCTAGAGAAAAGTTCAAGGTCAGGAAGAGGATATTTTTAAAGATAAGAGATTAGAGCATTTTTATAGGCTAGTGGGAAGGAGATGGTCTGATACAAAATTAGCCTTTTAATTCCTTAGGTCTTTGTAGAAGTAGTTGATCATGTATGCTGATACCAGTATAAGGAACATTGGGAGCCAAGCGCTTACAGGAGTTCTAAATTTTTTTTTCCCCTCCCCGTGCGTCCCCTGCGCCAGTTCTAAATTTTTTTAGAAGGGAATATTTCAGGACAGGTGTGATGACTCACACCTGTAATCTCAGCACTTCAGGAGGCCAAGGCGAGAGGATTGCTTGAACCTAGGATTTCTTTTTCTTTCTTTTTTTTTTTTTTTTTAGCAGTTTTTAAATAAAGTTTAATAGAGAAAGAAGGGAGAAAAGAAAGGGTGACATGCCAGAGCTGGCATGGGCAAAAGAAACCGCCAAGCCTAGGATTTCCAGACCAGCCTAGGCAATATAGTGAGATGTCATCTCTACAAAAAAAAAGTAATCAACTGGGTGAAGTGGTGCACGCCTGTGGTCCTGGCTACTTGGAACGCTGAGGCAGAAAGATTGCCTGAATCCAGGATTTTGAAGCTCCAGTGAGATGTGGTCATACTACTGCACTCCAGTCTGGGTGACAGAGTAAGACCCTGACTCAAAAACTATATATAAAAATCAAAGAAAATTTCAGAGATGTTTAGGAACTAACTTAAAAGTGGAAACAGGAAAAAATGTCTAATATAGAAAATTGTTATTGAGTTGACTTAGTACATTTATCTATCTGTCTATTTTTTTTTAAGTCATGTTCTGTGTCAGAGGTATTGACAATGAGAGCAGTAACTTTGGGGGAAAAGTAGTCTGCAGAAGAAAATTTGCACCTTTAAGTATTTACTTATTTTTAGTTTTAGTTTTTTTGAGTCAGAGTCTCACTCTGTTGCCCGGGCTAGAGCGCAATGGCATGCTCACATCCACCACAGCCTTGACCTGCTGGGCGCAGGTGATCCTTCTGCCTCAGCCTTCCACATAGCTGGAACCACAGGCATGCCCTACCATGCCCTGCTGTATTTTATTTATTTATTTATTTATTTTATTTATTGCAGAGACAAGGTCTTGCCACGTTGCCCAGGCTGGTCTCCAACCCGTGGGCTCAGGCAATCCTCTCGCCTCCGCCTCCCAAAGTGCTGGGATTATAAGCGTGGACCAACGTGACCTGCTTGAATATTTATAGCAAAAGAGAAAAAATTGGAAATAAATGAACTGAACATATGCGCTTGCAGTTACAAACTGAAAAGGGAAATAAACTAAAGTAGAAGAAAGGGATTAACTTATTTAAATAGAAAAAAACATTTGATAACATTAGAAGTTGGTTCTTTGAAAAGAACAAAAAAAGAGACAAACCTAAGTTCAATGAAGGGGGAAAAAATTTAATAGCTTTAGGAAAGAAAAAAACGTGGATGCAGAGCAGAAAGAGATTGAGATTCTCTCAATCAGTCTTTAAGGAACCCTAGGTAGTAGGTGTTATTCTACAGATTAGGAAACTAGATAAGAGGTGAAGAAATTCATATCCAGAGGCAGTTAATCCTAGGAAGGCAGAGGTTGCTTAACTTTGTGAAATCTTACATAATCTACCATTTTATGGAGATTGTTCTATTCTCAGGCAAATTCGTCTTGTTAGACTATAACTCTTTAAGTTGTCCTCTCTGATTTTAAATGTAGTTGCTAAACATAGGATTTTAAGACTATAAAATAGCAAGGTAAGCGTTAGAACTTTTTTTTCTTTTCTTATGTAATTATTATTGGTGTATTTTATAGTGTGTTGGGAGAAACTTTCAAGTTAGAAGTAGTTTTGTTCATAGGCATAAATACCAAAATCTTATCTAGTATTTTTTTTTAAATAAGAAATGCTGTTATCCATGATAACAAGATTGAAAACTCTTATAATTCTTTTTAATGTTTTTTTCTTACAAATAATTTTTTATTATTTTAGCTTGTTCTTTAAAAAAATGCTACCCTGCATACAGGTGCTACTGATATTTCCTATAACTTAAGAAGAATAATCTTTCTTTTTCTTTCTTAGGTACAAACTGTCTTGAAGCCAGTTCATCATAAGGAAGGACAAGAATTAACTGCTTTGCTGAATGCTCCACATATTCAGGTAGAAAATGGACAGAGCATTATATGTGTGGTTTTTCCAGCATTTAAAATTTTTTTTACAATACTTGGAAGTCCAAGCTCATACTTTTTTTTTCTTTTTAAATAAAAAATCTCCCAGGGCTGGAAGAGACCTCAAACATTATCTAGTCTGTTTTGACGTTTACAGTCCCCTCTGCAAAATAATTGTTGGATTATATATTTTCATATTTTAAAATAATCAAATTGTTTTTAAAACAATTTCTTTTTCTTTAAAAATTGGACAAAAATGTCTCCTTATTTTGATTTTTTATATGTGTGTGTGTGTGTGTGTGTGTGTGTGTGTGTGTGTGTATTTATTTATATATGTATGTGTGTGTGTTTGAGTCAGAGTCTTACCCTGTTGCCCAGGCTGGAGTGTAGTGGCACACTCGTGGCCACCACAGCCTTAACCTGTTGGATTCATACGATCCTTCTTCCCTAGCCTTCCAGGTAGCAGGAACCATAAGCATGTGCCACCACACCCAGCTAATTTTTTTATTTATTGTAGAGACAAGATCTCTTCAAGTTGCCCAGGCTGGTCTCAAATCCCTGGACTCAGGCATTCCTCTTGCCTCAGTCTCTCAAAGGGCTGGGATTACAGGCTTGAGCCACTGAGCTCTGCTGGTTATTTTTCATAAATTTTAATTATCTAAGATGTTTAACCCTTTAAATTGATTTTGTTTTTATGTAGTTTAATAAACTTTTTAGACTTTATAGTCATTTCAGAGTATTCCCTTGTATACTTAACACATCTTTAATTATTGTTATCTCTAATTACTTATAGTACTTTTAAAAATTTAATAGTCAGAATACTATGTATATGATGAAGTTAAAAATCACTGTACAGCAGTAAATCATGCTGTTACTTAAAATGCTATGGATTTCTTTGAAACAGGCACTTTTACTGGCCCATGATAAGGTTGCTGAGCAGGAAATGCAACTAGAGCCAGTTGCTGATGAGAGAATTTATGAAAGCATTGGCCAGTATGGAGGGGAAACTGTAAAAATAGTTCGTATAGAAAAGGCTCGTGATATTCCATTGGTAAGTGTCCCATATCTCTGATCTAAGATTCTTTCTACTCAGAGATCTTGTGTATGGCAGATAGTTGAAGACCTTGCTATATTTCTGGGTTTTTTTTTTCTCTTTTGAAGTTAATTTGTTGGAGTTTTTCTGTGCTCTTGCTCATATCCCTTATTCAGTTGAGAAATATTTATTATATTTTCTCACTCATAATTTGATGAAAATAATAGCTTGGTGAAAGATTTGAGCAACAAAGAAGGGATAAGTAATTTACTCCATTATTCTCCTAGCTTACCTTTTAGAATAATTAGTAGAAATTCTGATCAGCTGGTTGTGGTGATTCACAGGTATAATTCCAGTATTTTGGGAGACTGAGGCGGGAGATTACTTGAGGCCAGGAGCTTGAGACTAGCCTGGACAACATAGGAAGACCTTGTCTCTACAAAAAATAGAAACACAAAAAGTAGTCCCCTTTTTTTGGAGCCAGGGTCTCCCTCTGTTGCCCAGGCTGGACTACGGAGGTATGATCCTGCTTCGCTGCAACCTCAATCTCCTGGACTTAGGTGATCCTCCCATCTCAGCCTCCCAAGTAGCTGAGACTACAAGTGTGTACCACCATGCCTGGCTTTTTAAAATAATGAGAGAGAAGTTTTCATTGTGTTGCCCAGGCTGGTCTTGAACCCTTGGGGTCAGTTGAGCCTCCTGCCTCAGCCTCCCTGAGTGCTGAGATCATAGGTATGAGCCACAATACTCAGTCTTAAAAAAAAGAAATTCTAATATTTTATAATATATCTTATAATATATATAGACATACTATTGCTTATATATGTCAGATATTCTTAAAAATATACTTTTTTAGTATTTTATATTTTAGTAATACACTAAACCTTATAAAATGCTATGTGTATTAGTATGGGTAACACTTTTAGTAATAGAATAATTTGCAAAGTTGTGGAATGTAGCATTCCTTTTTTATTTTTTATTTTATTTATTATAAAGTTGTGTGATACAAGTGAGTGTTAACTACATAAGTAGACTGCATGCAGGTGAAATTTGGGCTTCTAACTGGCCCTTATTCTCTGTTTTTGTTGTTGTTTTGTTTTGTTTTTGAGTTGAGATCTCACTCTGTCACCCAGGCTAGGAGTGCAGTGGCATGATCATGGCTTATTGCATCCTTGACCTCCTAGGCCAAAGGTGATCCTTCTGCCTCAGCCTCCTGAGTGACTGGAACTACAGGCATGTGCCACCTCACCTGGCTAATTTTTTATTTTTTTGTAGAGAAGAGGTTTTACTGTGTTGCTCAGGCTGGTCACATTTCTCTCTCTCTCTCTCTCTCTCTCTCTCTCTCTTTCTTTCTTCCCTTCCTTCCTTTCTTTCTTTCTTCCCTTCCTTCCTTTCTTTCTTTCTTCCCTTCCTTTCCTTTTTAATTTTTTTGTAGAGAGGCGGTTTTACTGTGTTGCTCAGGCTGGTCACATTTCTCTCTCTCTCTCTCTCTCTCTCTCTTTCTTTCTTTCTTCCCTTCCTTCCTTTCTTTCTTTCTTCCCTTCCTTTCCTTTCCTTTCCTTTCCTTTCCTTCCTTCCTCCCTCCCCTTCCCTCCCCTCCCCTTC